CCCAAAACCCCAAAACCCCACAACCCCAACACCCCAAAACCCCAAAACCCCAAAACCCCAAAACCCCTTACTACTAACCATAAATAGCCAATCGTTTTTAATAATATTAAGATATTTCGGAATGTCAGCGACGTCCATGAGCAAAGGTAAGCAAAAATAATATCAAGATTTTTTATCTTAGTTGGGAATTTGATACTAGAGATTCTCAGGTGTCATGGGTATACCCTCTGCATAGTTCTATAGCTTTTTATGATACCATTGTAATGACTCTGAATGGGTTAGATTCCTTACTTTCTTGGCATTCAATTGATAAGATTTTTGTGATAAATTGGATATATTGGGTGTTTAAATCATGAACGTCAAACTAACGTCACATCTATAGAAGAAGCCAAGAAAGAATTAGCACTTGAAGCCCACGAGTACCATGCCAATCCTATCCCAGGAAAGTACGAGATAGCCCCTTCCAAGCCACTCGGCAGTCAGGAAGATCTCAAGATGGCTTACTTGCCAGGAATCAAGCATGTTGTAGAAGAAATAATTAGTGATCCTTCTTCTGTTTACGATTTCACAAATAAAAATAACACTGTATGCGTCATCACTAATGGAACGGCTGTCCTTGGATTAGGAGATATCGGCCCTCTCGCTTCCAAGCCAGTCATGGAAGGTAAGGGAGTCCTCCTTAAAAAATTCGGAAATGTCAATGGAGTCGACCTCGAAGTAAACACAAAAGATCCTGATGAGTTTATCAACTGTGTGAAATTGCTTGGACCAAGCTTTGGTGGGATCAATCTTGAAGACATCAAAGGCCCAGAGTGCTTCTACATTGAGAAAAGGCTGAAAGAAATCATGGATATCCCAGTATTCCATGATGACCAGCATGGTACAGCCATCATTACCTCAGCAGGAGTTATCAATGCTTGTCATCTTACTAACAGAAAATTAGAAGATATTAAGGTGGTCTTCAATGGAGCTGGTGCAGCAGGAATTGCATGCCTCCAAATGCTCCTTGACTGCGGTGTCAAGAACGAGAACGCCTTTCTCTGTGATTCAAGAGGTGTTATTTACAAGGGAAGAACCGAAGGTATGAATGAATGGAAAGAAAAGTATGCGAATGATACAGAGCTCAGAACCATGGAAGAAGCCCTTGAGGGTGCAGATGTGTTCGTTGGCGTATCTAAAAAGGATGCTCTCAATCCAGAGTGGATCAAGAAAATGAATGGAGGATCAGGAGACAATCCTGATGTCGTACCTATCATTTTCGCCTTAGCTAATCCAGATCCAGAAATCTTACCTGAGAAAGCAAAAGAAATTTGCCCAAATGTCATTATTGCCACAGGAAGGTCTGACTATCCAAACCAAATCAATAATGTGATGTGCTTCCCTTACTTGTTCAGAGGTGTTCTTGATGTAAGAGCTAGCACCATTAGTGAGAACATGAAGATTGCTACTGCATATGCTTTAGCTGAACTTGCAAGAGAAGAAGTCCCAAAGGAAGTAGAAGAATTATATGGTAGGGAACTCAAATTTGGTCCTGAATATATCATCCCAACTCCTTTCGACCCAAGACTACTTGTTAGAATTGCAAATGCTGTTTCACAAGCTGCAAGAGATGAAGGCAACTGTCAATAGACTTTGAAAAATTGGAATGAAAGGATTCAGTGTTTAAAAGAAATGACCTTAAATTCCTAGAGTCTCTATTTCTCTAAAGAAAATAATATCAAAACTGGAAAAGTGTCACAGCTCGATTATCTTGCTTAGATTTAGCTTTACTTGGTTGTTCGAGATACTAGTTTTTCATTTGGGGTGTATCCATTCGAAGGGGGATATCTATCATTGATTATAAAGATGGTCAAAAGTTATTAGAAAACTATTCATACCTTGCTCTTTCAAATATTAAATACAAATATGGGGTTTTGGGGTTTTGGGGTTTTGGGGTTTTGGGGTTTTGGGG